AAAATATAATTATTAATTAAAGTCAATAATATATCATATATAATTTTTATAATTTTTTAATTGCATAGTTAAAGATTTAAAAATTGGTAAAATTGAAATTTATAATAAAATTATAGTAAGTGAACTTAAACTTTTGTAAATAACCATAATATTAAACTTAAAAATTATATTCAATAATTTAAAAGTAATATTATTATACTATTAATTAATAAGTACAATAACTTAAATAGTAATATTCTTATATAAAAATATCAAAAAAATAAACAAATTAAAAGTTTATATATATTGTATTATATATAATTATTAATTTTATTTTTGATTACTAAAAATTAAAAGTTTTAATTTTATATAATTTGATTTAATTTTAATAAAATTGATTTGATTTTTTAGTAAAATTAAATTCAATTTTTTATTTAAAAATTTGAAAATATTTTTATCATCTAAATCTAGAAATTTTTTTAAAAAATTATTTTTTAATCAATTAAATTATATTTTTTTAATTATTAAAGATTTTTTGATTTTTTTTTAAAAAAAAATAATAAATAAATTTATAAATGAAATAAATAATTTATAAAGTTATATAAAAATCCAAACTATTAAAAGATTTGATTTGAAAAAATTTTTTATTAAATTTTTATTATTTTAAATGAATTAAATAATTTTTGATTATTTTTTTTTTTTTAGCTAAATAATATTGTGCATGGAAAAAACAAAAAAAATACACAGTATATTATAGATATAATTTCTAATCAAATATTCAAACTATTGTATATTAAAATAGTTCATCCCGATTAACCATTATACAGTATATTCAAATTTTTAAAAAAACCTTTTGAATTACAATAGTGGCATAAATAAATTAAAAGTATTTATTTAAAATAAAAACAACAAATCGATATAATTTAAATTACATATAATAATAACTCTCTTTGATCTAATAGTAATTCCGTATTGATTCGGCCAAGGAAACAAATCTATTTATGAGATTATTAAATTTAACTAATGTAAACAAATAAACAACCAATTGATTATATATTTAGTTTAATATTTATAAGGCAATATTGTAGTTTTTTAATTATTAATAAAGGCAAATTAGGAAAAGCAATGTTTTTATTCTCTTATGTTTCATATATATTCGTATTGACATTCCATGTTCGACAAAACTTAATTTACTGTGCATAATCACAATCACACAAAACAGTGAACAAAATGCTTGGCTAAGCTAGTTTTTCACTCTCATAAATCGTCAGACTTAAAGTTTTTGGCATAAGCAAGGTAATAATTACATAAGTCATTTCAATTGTTTATTTGTCACGCATTTTCATTTTATCTAACACCAAAAATATTTAGAAAGCTGCAGAAACAAGGATGTTTATTTGATGAGCAAGCGAAACCTACAGCTAGTAATTGGGAAAAAACTTTAGACAGGCCTCGCTGAATCATGCCTATTATTTATGCGCACATGCATCCAAAATTTGAGGCAAGTTCATCCTAACACACCGTGTAGGAATACGTGTCGATAATCCGTCAACATTTACGCAGACAATTTTTTGCGGAAACCTACATTTAAATTAAAGCAAAGCTCACGATACAAACATAAATCACGGTCACATTCCGGAGGCATATATCGCCTGTTTCTGCGTTACGGGAGACCCCAACTTTCGAAACTTCTGATAAAGAAAATAAATAAATAAAGGTGGGCGCTTAAACAAAACAGGAACATCATAGACCTAACTTAGATCCATTTTATGTATTATATTTAGATGGCGTCAATACAAACATTTAAGACACGTGTTATGCTCCATAAGAAATATTTCACACCTTATTTTTCGAACTCAAACGCGATTATTTATTTTCAAAAAGTTTTCTCGTAGAAATAAAGAAATATATACTGTATATATGTATATATATATAATATAATATATAATGCTGTATATCAGTCACAAAATGAAGTTAAAAAAGAACAATGAAAAGGTTATTTACAAATGATTCGAAGTTGTATAAATGAAAAGAAATTTTATTAAAAAAGGAAAAGGAAGTAAATATTATTATCTTTTTTTAAAAAAAAAAAAAAAAAAAAATTGCATACATTCATTACGTGTAGATGGTATATAAATTATGTCATTGGAAAAATATGTAATCTAAGGGAGAGATGCATGTATAGAAACTTAGATGTCGAATGATTAAAATTGCAAAATGCAAAATCCCAGGCAATGGAGTTCTTGATGACGATGACACCTTTTCCGTGTAGCGCCTTTAATCTTCATCCGTGACCGGTAATACCGTATGCCAGCTTAATAGGATTCATCATTCCAACAATTAAATTTGGAACTTAGTCTTTTAGCTCAGCAGTGACCCATTACTCGCAAAATCACGTTAGGAATAATGACATTGCCAGTGACCAAAAAATGCCAAAACCCCAAGAATCTCCGTGAACTGAATGCATTTCCTCATCCTTTGAAAATTTTCTCTATATATAATTTTTGAAGCTTAATATTTCATATCTAATTGTATAGCAAATACTTTCAAGACTGTTCGATCTTAATTACTTAATCTTATTGTAATTTCCATATGTTGTTATTTTCATTTTCTAGGATTCCATTCAAGTTCCAGAAAGATGTAATTTAATAAAATAATTCGTGATTCCAATTCTGGTATTGCCCATAATTTTCAACCTGGCAGATTGAAGGATCTTGTTCGATGCTAAAGGTGCTGAGAAAGCCAAAGTTATTGAGGCAAGTTGTGTAGGTGCAGTGAGAATTTTCGTCGATCAAAATCTGGTCCATCTGTTCCTCAGCTGGTACGTAACACACATTCATGTTGGATTGAACGAATTGCTCCAAATTAGGTTGATATCCGTATTGTTCCAAACACGGCTCGGTATTATAAAGGACTTCATTGTGCATATCTTCAAAGAGGGGGAAATCCTGCTCGGCGTGTTCGGAACCTGAATCCGAATCCAAAGTAGTAGATTCTGTCGTTGATGATTCAGGGGTGGAGACAGATTGCGGCGAATGACAGTTGACGAACTTTTCCCTTTTGACGATTGGCGAAGTCATTGGATTACTAATTGTCGTGATTTCCGATGATTCATTCGACACCATAAGTTTCTCATCTTCCTTGGGTTCCAGGAAATCAGGATCGAGTGTCATAATTGGATCGCAAACAATTTTGTAGCCTCTAATTATCCTCTTCCTTTCCTGAAATTCTTTGTCTATTTCCTGTGCAATCTTGGTGTATGCAGCTTTAACCTCCTTGGGTTCATTCTTCCAGTTGTAACTAACTAGTTTAGAAACTTCCGTCATTCTGTATTTAAGATTTCTGTCGGAAAGATGTTTAACGAATGCCTTTCGATAAACAAAAAACGCATTTGGACTTTTTGTATCAAGATTTGTGGAGGACCTCCCCAAAAAATCATCCTTGGTTACAGTTGGTGGGAAGAGTGTTATCTTTATTTGTGGAGTGGTGACAGTGGGATTAACATTACGTCTTAAAGACTTTGTAATCTTTGAATTTCTTCGAGGCATTTTTAAATCGTTATTGTTTTAAATAATAATAGAATAACTAATAACAATAATAATAATAATAAATAATAAATAATAAATTATAATTATAAAGTTCGTTAAAACAAATTTACGATGTGAATTTTTTATTGAAAATTCGTTGATTAACGCCGAACGTAGGAATCGGAGCATTTTATATTTTTTTTTCGGTTTTATTCTCCGTGAAAAAGTAATGCATTATTACATATTCGCTGTAATATGGATACTTTTGGCTATTGATAAGAGCTTATAGAACCTGCCGCCACTATAATTTTTTTTAATGTAAGTTGTGTCCGGTGGAACAAACATTTAGGAATTCTTGTACAATACCGAAAATAGTAAAGATCTCATTGAGAGCATATAATCACGTGCTTGACTTTTTTTGGTGCCAAGTGCCACATGGCTAATGATTCTATAAATAACATTATACATATATATATATTGCATTGTCATTTGCCAATTAAGGAGCTTGTTGGCCTTTATAGGTCCGCAGAGGAATTCTATCCAGAACAACCACAGTGGGTGTCATTGTGGCTGAACCCTTCACAAGTCAAGATCCGCGTACCATTCTTGTCACGTGGCAATCGCGTTGTCTTTAACTCGAATGTGATTATAAATTTCTCTATTATATAAAAACATATAAACATAAATGTAACATATTGTGAAATCATGCGCACATTGGTGTTAAGGGAACTCAAACCTGTTTGTTCTTAGTTAATCCGGGTGACTAAAAATATCTATAAGTCATGGATCGCTTTCTTTTTGCCCTTAATTAATTATTTGTACTCTATAGCTAGACATATGGTTATTACTATGCAATATCAAAACTCTTGACGGGCCGAACTAAATGCATGAATTGGCATATAATTGCATCAAAATAATTAAATGTGCAGGCATTTTCTTTTACGCGAAAAGGCAGGTCACAATCGTTGTTTTCTTTAATGAATATTTACCGTAAATGATAAGTGCATTGTTATACTTTTTTCTTACTGCTTGTTATCGAAATGTGGTATTTGTCGACTAGGATCAGCTTATGAATGCATCACACAACTTCAAAAGAAACCAAGGTTTCATTTTTATTTTTATACGTGCGTAAAATGGATCTGCTGAGACACAATGGGACTTATTTACGGGATTCGTGCATATACACATTTAATTATTTTTATAAGGGAACGAGATAAAAAGATAACAAGAGCTCTCGCCGTTATGCTGCATAATCAAATCATCTTTGCATTTGGTCCACAAGAAACTTCCGACCTTAATCAGGGCAGTTTTGATCTAAACCTTTTCTGAATGCCTCATCATCTCCAGAAGTACAAATATCATTCCCTCGCAGATTAGACTGAGTCACATCTGGCATATTTGTATTCGGATGTGCACTTACATTCGGCTGAATTATTTGTATACACAGAAACCTTTATCTTTATATACTGTATATATATGTGTGTGTGTTTTTTTTTTTACAAAAGATCTCGAACATCCTCATGCAAGTTGTCTCCGACGATACATAATATAATGCAAGTAGTTTCAAATCAAATGAATATTTTATGCTGCTACGATGACGCGTACTTTAATAAATTGGTTTTCTGTGCACCCTTTATTAATTCATATAATAAATTCCATTTATTCTTAAAAGTAATAACTATCGATCAGACGGTCCACATTAATAGAATAGCACTCGACTCCCTTTTACGCGATAATTACGGGTTTCCGAGGTAGGTCGAAGTGGGTTTTTCTTTTCTCAATGGGAATTTCCCGGTAATAAAATTTGCTCATGGTTTATGCAAACATTGATTACTCCTAATTCATAATAATACACAAACGAATTATTTTATGCATATCTTTATTTATTAACTGGGCAATTTTTTTTTCTTTTTTTGCAAAAATAATGCGTACATTACATGCTGCAAATACTGAAAGCGCAATTCAAGGAACTTTTCGCCAAGCCACAACAAATTTGTGGCTGATTACGTATTTGATTAAAATAGATTGAATTTCAAATTTGTTATCTACTAACGCTACCCTGCATATTATTGGTCAATTTGGCGAATGGATTTTAAGTTAAAATACAATTTCAGTATTAAGAAAGGTATTCGGTGCACGGATATCGACAGCACTCTTAAAGAAGAAAATTTACAATCACCATCGTGTATACGGAAATGCATTTACTATTTTATGAAAAATTCATCATATTTTCATCGAGCTTGCATAATGGCGGTCTTTTATGAGGACACAAAAGGAATCCTGAATGTCTGAATTGGAGATAAAAAAATTTTGTATTTCACATACGTATCCATCTTCCGCATGTTATGCGCACGACACCGCATCTACTAATGTTTCACCGTAGTCGGTCGTCTCATGCACGAACGGTGATACACACTTTCATTCAAAATTTCCAATTAAAATTAAGTTTTGCGGAATTTAGCCGGGACTTGTTAAAATAATTGTAGGTTAGAAGGTGGAAAATTAACAATATAATGTCAAGTTGGGAAATATATTCTTCCAAATCCTGCCGTGTCAGCATGCGTACGTACGTACGTGCATACATATACGCAGATGATTTAATTTACAGCGATAAATTTAGCCCGGCAAAACGCCAATCATAAATGCAATCAAACAAATATGTTTAGCGCAAGATGCCACGATATCATTAAGGATTTTCATTGATCGAATTTACAAACTCCACACTGCGTAAAAATAAATATCACGATATTACTCATTTTCTATTTGGGTGTAAACCTACTAATCATTATTAGCTGGGTTGTCATGATTCTCTCGCGACTTCTCTATCATTAGGAGAGGTTTTAATAAAAGAAACTGCTGAGGTCAGATTTAGATAAGATAACGTATGCATGTCGAACATATGAAGTGAATTCATAGTAAATGTTCCTTTTGCGGTTAGAATTTTTTATTTCAAGAAAATGTCGTGTACACAAGATATTCTTAGAATACTGCATTTTTGTATGAACTAATCTACGATTTGCCCTCAGATAAATATAGTATTTGTGTTTCTGTACGAGTGTGAATCAAAGATCCTTGGTAAAATTTCATGCAAAAACTTCATTGCAATGCAGACCTGCGAACTAGTTCACTCAGGGGCGAATAATAATAATAATAATAATAATAATAATAAAAAAAAAAATCAGAGGAATGCGCAGAATATCTTGAATAGATATAAAATAGGAATTATCTTAGACTGTTCGTTCGAAAATGTTTAACACATAAAATCCCCAGCTGCGAATTCGCCTACGGAAGCACGATCACGGAAATTTTAACCTTTAGGTTGAACTGTCTCGAGTTGTCCTCTAAATTTGTCAAAATAGTTAATACAAAGGTATGCACGTAATACGTAATACAGCACATATGTCATAAGTAAACATCACTTGAGGTGCAAACACGTATTGGCTTTTCTAATAAGAATGTTTAAATTATAGTTGGTATCACGACCATCTCTTCAACATCTTCAATCATATGAAATTCAGACAAATAAAGCCACTTTGTTTATTGAGCACATATATATAAGGAAATGAATAAATAACCAATAGTAAAGAGCGATGTCAAATTTATTTTTCAATTGGACAATTTTCTCAAGTATTATATAATATTTTACAAAATAATTACTATATATACTGTGCACACGTATGTATGATTTGTAACAACCTTTTTTGGAATATTAAAAAATATTTTTCAAAATTTAAGAATACGCTAAAGATTGATTGTTATATAATTCTATTTGATATTTAATATTAAAATAATAATAATAATAATTTAGACAAATTAAATAAAATTTTATTGAAATAAATATGGAATTGCAATAAAATTATAATATCTTCTTTTAAAAAATAATAATTATAATTGTAGTATATAATAGTATATTTTTACAAAACCATTATATACTATATATACTGTATATCAATAGTAAATGATTTTGAAATAATTATAATCATAAAAATTTTTTAATTATAAAAATTTATATAATTATTTTTTTTTTTTTTAACCCGCTGTCAGGTTAGTTACACTAGTCGAAATTATGTCATTCGGCAGCTGAATTATTGCCGAATTTAATTAAATTTAATAATAAAAATATTGCCAAATTCTTTTCGATTGCTGCCACTTGGCATATTACATTTTGGCAATAAAGTGGCAATCAAAAATTCAGCAATCAAAAATTCAGCAATCAAAAAATCGGCAATCAAAAAATCGACAAT